TACGTACATTAAAAAGAAATAACACTCTGACACCCCGTCTAACAGTTGTAGTTCGCAAGAATTACACGTTAACAGTATTGTATTTTTATGTATTTTTATAAAATGTATATAATATTTTTTAAATAATAAGGTATATTACAATATAATTTTTTGATTATTAAAATAAGCAAATCAATATAGAAATATATTTTAAATTTCATAAAAGTAAATAGCTTTTTTTTTGACTTCTAAATGTAAGATATAAAATCTACTTATTACTAAAAATATAAGCTAATAAATTATTTCAAAATATCAAATATCATTTATTATGAGTTTCTAATTAACTATATCACAATATATATCAAGTAAATTACTTGAAAGCAATATAAACTTTTAAGCTATATTTCTTATAGAAAAATTCAATATAGTTACTTTTACAATTTATTAGTTATATAGATGAAATTTTGATTACATTTGCCTTAAAATATTGATTTACCTTATTTTATACTTTGAAAAACATAAATTGATGAAGCAAATTTAGGATGTATAAAATTATCATCTATAATTATTTTTAATTTAAAGAATAGCTTTCAAAAAGAATTTTCTTGTAGAGTATAAGTAAGAATTAATGAAAAGGCTAGGTAGAAATAATATTTTGCTTTGAAAAAAAAATTACCTGATTTTTCCAATCTAAAATCGTCTTCCAGAATTAAGGACACTGGATCGTTTGAATAGACAGAAGGTTGGACCGATCAAACCCTATTTGAACCTAACATGTCAAAAACAAAATAAATGTCAGATCCATAAACATGACCGCCATAAGAATAGCGATCTGGAGGAAAGGCGATCTTTAAGATCTTTTATACCAATCTTTAGACCGGTCTTAGGATCGATTTTAATAGCACTACAAATCTATATATATATATATTTAATTTAATAAATTATTTAAATAAGCGTTATGGATTTGGACATAATTTTATCTGTCCAATTAAATAAATGTCCAACACTGATGGAAACTCTTTTTTTTAAAATTTTTATTGTTTATTTATTAATTAAATTTAATAAGGTGCTAAAAACGTCATTGATCCTCCGCCACGTTTGATATAACACAATTGTTGAACCGATTATTTCGCTGATCCAGTAAAGAAACTTGATTAATAATGATATTTTATTCCGTTATTAATTTTAGTCCAAAACAAAAGAACAAAATAATTTTTATTATTAGAGAACTATATTATTCATGGTTGAAAATGCTGCCGTAATTCCTTCAAGTGCATTTTGTTCGGTATCTTATATTAGTCGAATATGTATGGTATACATATTTGCTAATTTAAAATTCAAATATTAATTTATATTACCTAATTATTATAGGTTGAGTCGATACGTGATTGGTCACAAAATGTCCGGATGTATAACGTGTTTTGAAGCAAGATTAACCAACACATTACACAAGTGAAAATCAAAACCTCATAAATTTCTTATTCTAAACAGTAGCGTAACATTGAAATATTCATAAAAAGAAATAATCCGGTACAGCCGCTTAATATGAGTTTTGAGGAATATGGAAGTTAAAGGCTTATCGATTACAACTTGGCGTAAAGTTTTTGCTATCAAAGATTTGACTGACTTCGTACGTAATATTTGTCGGACACTAACTACTGTAGTATTCGAAATACCACCACAATACCTTTAAGATTAATATTTTCAACATGGTTATAATAAAAAAACCTTCCAAAAGATCTCTTTATTTTCAATATATCTTCTTAATCGTTTTAACCATAATATCGTTTGTAGTGTCTCTCGCTTTCTTTTTATCTCTATTTGATATTACGTTATTTAAGTCAAACCGACAACTATTTTTTGAAAAGGAATATGTTAACCCTGCAAAGGATCGTAGTATATTTTACGACGTTAAAGCTGAGAAAAACATGACGAGAGAAAACGCTGCAATAGTCGTGCTCGTTAGGAATGAAGAATTGCCAAGTTTACTGTCTTCTATGAGACAGTTTGAAGACCGATTTAATAAAAAATTTCAATACCCATATGTATTCCTAAACGATAAAAAATTCACCAAAGCGTTTATTCGCGCTACAACTGCTATCACAACCGCAGAAACAAAATATGGTATGTATTAGGAAATATATGTATAAGCATGCATAACTTTATTTGTTATTGTAAACAATGGGTAAATTAATTATTTCCTTTTTGTTATATATATATTTTTTTTAAAAAAAAAGGGATAATACCAAAGGAAATGTGGAGTTATCCAAAATGGATAAATCAAACTAAAGCAAGCGATGCTCGTCATAAGATGCAAGAAAATGATGTGTTGTACGGTGGCTCGGAGTCCTATCGTCATATGTGCCGGTTTAATTCGGGATTCTTTTTTCGTCATGAAATCTTGGAACAATATGATTATTATTGGAGATTAGAACCCGGAGTTGAATTTATGTGTGATATAGATTATGACGTATTCAAATTTATCAAAAAGAACAATATAACGTACGGCTTTACGATTTCGCTCATGGAAATAGAAGAAACCATTCCTACCCTATGGGAAACTGTGAGAGAGTTCATGAAAGAATATCCGGAATATATAAATAAAAATAATGTTATGAAATTCATATCCAATACGGGAAAACATTATAATATGTGAGTGAAAATTTCTCTTTCGTTTTTGAGTAAAGTTGGTGGTGTAGTTCGAAATTTGATATTCAACGTTTTATCTTTTCCATTATCAGGTGTCATTTTTGGAGCAATTTTGAAATTGCTGATTTAAATTTTTGGAGAAGTGAAAGATATATTAAATTTTTCGAGTATTTGGATAAAGCTGGAGGTTTTTTCTATGAAAGGTATTTGAAAACTGTTTCCTTTTTTTAAAAAATTTTTTTTTTTTTATTATTAAAATTTTATTTTTTAACTTATTTTATCTCTTTTAGATGGGGAGATGCTCCAGTTCATTCAATTGCACTTGCATTATTCCTAGAAAAATCACAAATACATTTTTTTAACGATATATCGTATAGACACCCTCCGTTTGAACATTGTCCTATTGAGAAAAATGTTCACGAAGAGGGTAAATGCCATTGTAATCCAGAGAAGACTTTTGGTAAAAATTTAGATCACGTTTTTTTAATTTTTATTCATGATTAAGTTTATTAATTCATTTCCTTTTTTTATTGACAGATTTCGTGTGGGGATCTTGTCTATCATCTTGGTTCGCGGCTTGATTTACAGCTTGATTAGAAAGAACAATAAAAGACATTCACAACTTTATAGAAATTTTTTTTACACTAATACAGACTTAATACTTTATTATTTGCATTTTTATTATTTAATTAATTATTTATTGAACCTATAAAATTATAAAAAAGGTGTACAGAGTTTTGTATTCTATAAATATTAAAAGTTACGGAATATAATAATTTGAGTATAATTTAATGTAATAATTCTCGTTAAATTCTTTAATCGACATTCGACAATTTGATTCGAAAGAATAATCTTATTAATAAAATATATGAAATTACTTTATATTTTGCATAATTGAAATTATTATTATTATTATTATTTTTACACGTTATTCTGTTTTAAATATATACAAAATTTTTTTTTATCTTCTCTCTCTAGGTTTAACTACCCATTTATTCGCCCTCTTCCTAGTTTTACCACCTTTGGCCAATACATTCCAAGGACTCACGGGATGCCTATTACCTTTACTTTTACCCCTTCCACCACCATGAGGATGATCAACAGAATTCATGGCGACACCTCGAACGGTTGGTCTAATACCCAACCATCTACTTCTACCTGCCTTACCCAAGGTGGCATGTTGATGATCGGGATTTGAAATGGTTCCAATTGTCGCACAACAATCCACGTGAATCAATCGAACTTCACCACTTTTCAACCTCACTTGAGCATAACCTTTCTCACCCGTGCGAACCAGTTGAGCAGAAACTCCAGCCGAACGACACAATATCGCAGGTCCATCAGGTTTTAACCCTATACAACATATCGTAGTACCAACTGGAATCAATTTCAATGGTATGCAATTTCCTTTCTCAACGGACACAACCTTTGTGATAAATGAATCATCATTGTTTTCTTCTAGCTGACTCTCTTGTGATTTACGAAATGATCGAACAATAGTTCCGGGTTGAAGATCATGTGGTGCGATGATGTAAGAATATTTTCCGTTAATCGTATTTTGTAACAAGGCCAAATGACCAGAACGATTGGGATCATATTCGATACGAACTATTACATGAGGTTCAGGATCCCATCTATGAAAATCGATCACACGAATACGTCTCTTATGTCCTCCACCACGATGTCTCACTGTAATGTGACCATGATGATTTCTACCGGATTGTTGCCTTTTGGCTAGGGTAAGTTTACGTATCGGTTTTCCCTTCCATAAATGATCATTCACAGGCCTTTTTAACCAACGAAGACTTGGAGTGCTCGGTTTATAAGTTTTAAATCTACCTTGTGCTAATTCCGCTGGCTCCGTTCGTGGTACTGGTATTGACATTGATACGGCGACCGGTTTTTTGGAGTATGTCCTACTTTGGATTTTGTTAGGTGAACATGATAATTTGGGTGACGATAATGAAAGTTTCTGAATCGGTAAGAGAGGAATCGTCGCTCGCTGTAAATTGTGATTAATTACACTGAAGACATGTAAATTACGCGTTGTGATCCTCTTAGTAAGGTTCGTTAATGTAGAATTGAAATACAATTTATTGACAAACATTTTTTTTTTCTCCTCTAAATGGAGATTTAACAAAATTTTTTTATTTTTTGTCTTAAAAAAAAGACACACAGATCGTGATGTGAGATCACAAAAAAAAAAATCGTTTCCAACGAATAATAATGAGTGAAACTCTTAAAATCATGTGAGGGGATTTCACCCATGATGTACCAGATTATTCTTCCAAGTAAAACATTTTTCCGAAAAAGGATGGATGAAAGTCGGCCAAAGAATTTTTTTAAGTTATGCATTTTGCTAACCGTAACCGCCCCGTTATGTCACGGTTCTACAATCAGGAAATCATAATCATCGGGATCGTCTTTGATGAATATATATCATTTTTCAGAGTAAAAAAGATCATAAACATAAAATGGGAGGAAAAAATAAAATAAAATAAGGAAAAAAATATATAAATATATTTTGATTTGCTTGATAACAACAATAAAGCGAATTCGACGATAATCTAAGTATCTAAGAGTACAGTCAAGTATTGTAATTGTGTTTATTGTTTCATTGAAAGTACAAAGATCATTATTTTTATTTTTAAGGTTTTATTATGGCGTTGACAAAAAAAAAAAATAAATAAATAAATAAAATAAAATAAAATAAAAAAAGATAAAAAAAGAAAATTTTAATAGTTAATAAATTACAAATTTGAAACCCTATAAGAAACCTTATTTTTTTTTTTCATTCACAGATTTACCAAATCTTTTACATCTAACCTTTGACAAAAAAGGGTTATTTGACCGATTGTTGAAAAGACAACTTAATTGTTGAAAAAAAAAAAAAATACCTACCATAAATATTTTTTTTCACGTTACCCGATTTTCTAACTTCCAGATATATCATAACCTTTTCATTCATGTATTGTGTAGATGAGAGAAAGAGAAGAGATTTCTCAATGATTATTTTTTCATTGCCACGTGCTGTACAACATTTCACAACCTTAAAGTTCTTTAAACATTCTTAATTTAAAAAGTATAATCTTTTTTTGAGGGTCACTCTGTCCCTTGAAATCTTAAAATCTTGAAATCTTGAAATCCTTACCGAAGAAGTGTAAGCTGCGCAATATTTGAGTTCAAAGAGGAAATGACTAAACTTCCACTAGGATTTGATCAAATCTTCTTTAACAAATCCCCCAAAATGGTGAAAGAAGATAGTAATCAACCCAAAAGTGAGAGGGATTCTTCTGTTCTTTTCTCACATATACTGTACAATATGTAATGCACACATGACATATTGTTTGCTTAATGTCTAAGGGTTCAAGTACATACATGGCATATATTTGCAGCGATTATATATGGGAACTTTGGCCCCTTTTTCAATTTATCAACATTTATTACAGGGTGATTTCGTGTCAGTTTTTTTTTTATCTTTTTTTTTCCCTTGCTCGAAGGTGTCAAAACAATTATCGCGTTTTGAACGCGTGATGATTTCGTTTAATCACACATGAATCATATTTGTGTTACCAATTAATTGCATTTGCATTTCAGTTATCCTACCAAAAATAACTATTACTGCATAATTTAAAAATTTTAATTCAAAAACGTGTTTCTGAAACATCTCAGGAGAAACTTTTTTTTTTTTTAATAAATATAAATGTAATGTGTGTTAGTGTGTACATTTGTCCTTGATTATATTATACAAATTATTTGTGTATATGTCAGTCGTCACAAAAAAAAAAAAAAAAAAAAAATGTACAAAATAGATAAAATAGATGGTCGTTGTGAAAATATGATAATATCACTTGAATTATAACAAAAGAAAAACAATGAGCTTTTGGCGTGTAAATATGTATTATATCAACAAGCAACAAAAAAAAAATATAAAAAAAAATACAAAGCGAAGAAAAAAAATTCTCAAAAAATAGTCTTTCACACCTCAATGTTTATCCTAGATAAAGGTTCTTTCATTGACTTTGTACATCAAAGAAAATCATTTAGTTAAAATTGGTTTAGATCAAATGAATATAAATTGGGAATGATCATACAGGGTTAGCCCGTGTGACAACGATGTTATCATGGGCATACCTTTTATAACCTTTTGATTTTAACGCCATCGACTAGTCCCAAAAAATCTTTTGACAGTTCACGTTATCTGATTCGCAGATCTGTATCATACCTTTTTTTTTTCTTACATTTCTCAGACCCTTCAATAGAAAAGTTGAACACAAATGTAACTTTTTTTTTTCTTATGTATAATATAATTTAGATAAATTACCAAAATTGGTCATTTGGGTGGTGTGTATAATGCGGGCTTAATGTGGGGTGAACATTTAACGAAAAACAATATGGAAAAAATTACAAACATTTGCAGGTGCAAAAAAAAAAAGATGTGTGAATAACTTAATAGAGGATTGAAGTGTGTCAGCCGGACGAAAGTCATTTTGAGAGATTTGTTTATTAAAATGATGACATATTAGGCGGGCTTTTCATGCGTACAGGGCAGGGCGTACTAAGAAATCCATAACAACAATTGAAAAGTTTTGGCTAATTCTTGTTAACCTTTTAAAAATTATTTGATTTAAATCATACAAATTTTTTTTTTTTTTAAATAAAAATCCTCCCCCAATCGGTAGGCTAGGGAACACATTGTCATTCCATTTTTGTTTAAACGAATAGACAAAGGACAAAAGAAATGCGATCAAAGAAAATCATCATGTAATCATCGTTAAAAAAAAAATGTCAAAAAGGTGTTTCGATTTTTTTTTTTTTTGTTTGTTATAAATAATTATTGTGTCAAAGACAGATTACCGATTCAATGACATAATGCTTCGGGATTTTTTTTAATCAAAGAACTCTTTGTGTGGTCTTTTTTTTTTTAAAAAAATAAAAAATAAAAGAATATAGTTTATTCTTTATTTTATACTATTTCAATTAATCTCATTATGGAAAATTCAATGTAATTCAAAGATCAAATTGTACAACGAAAAAGGGTCTTCGAAAAAGATGAACGAGATCTGAAAATAGAAGAAAATGGGGCATCATCATTCATTCAGATTGCGCTTTATTCCTCAAGTAACGCAAGCAAATAACATCCGAGTCCCTTGAATGGGGAGCTAAAAATGGAAGTATATGCCGATTGCTTATTTTCTTATCGGATATTAATGAAATCAAAACCATTTATTTTAATTTTTTTTTTTCCGAATAACATTAAAAAATGTAAATAAATATGAAACACGATTAATAAAAGTGTTTTGGAGATCCACAAACACGTAAAAAAAAAAAAGGTTTCTTGGTTAAATTAGGCGTTTAAAAATAATACCCGTCGATAAATTTCTTTTGTTATTCATCACTTTTACATTAGCATTTATGGAATTAAATAACACAATACACGTAATATCCTCACAATTAATGACTCCCTAATGCAAATGACGCTTATACTGCGTATGGGTCAATATTTACATTATAAATAAATTATTATATATATATATTTATAATTTTAGTATTACCGAGATTTACGTCATAATTGATTAATTTATCACCGAACATTCCATCATATCTACTATAATGGCCGTTCTAAAAAAAAAACTGTTATATCATATGAGGTGACAATTTTTTTATTGCTCCACAGTTGAAACGTATTTACCGCCAAAAAAAAATAATAATAATAATAAAATCCCCATAACCGATAACAAATAAAAACTAATTTATACTATTATAATATGACGATCTTTTGAAAGTATAATTCTAAATGACCAAGTTCTAAGCTATGATACATTTGTGTGGTAATAAACTTATTACACATTAGCAAAAAATTTCCTATTTAGTAGAAAAAACGAATTTTGTTTTTCTTGAGTAATAAAAAATAAATGGGGGAAAATTTCACATAATAATATGGGTTTATCATCGATGGCACAGATTCATCTCATATTGTACTTTTTTTTTTTTTTTTTTTTTTTTTGTACGGCGTTAAACGGTATTTTGTACGAAAATGTAAAGATTTTTTTTATTGTTGTGGAAGAGAAAAAAAATAATATTTTTTATTTGTTTAAATAAATAAGATGAAGTTAGTCTAGTGCATTTGTACCACGAGGTAATTCCCGCATTGCCACGCGACCCTTTTTTTACTTACACATATTGTCTCATATAAAATTTGTTGTGATATGATTAAAAAGATTGTCATCCGTGATATTTTCTAGCAATTTAACGAGAGGTTCGAATGATTGCCGATAAATTCCGCAAGTACAATGTAATTGCTAATAGTGGCATATTGGCGTTAGCATGTTAAAATAATGATATGTAAAATGTTCAATGCGTGAGAATTCGTCTCTCTTTTTTTTAAAAAAATCATCTCATGACAGCATAATACGAGATTATAATCAAGTTTTTAGTTTGAGAAAATGATTTGCGCCAATGGGATAAAATCGACCACGAGAGAATAATGTCACAACCTATAAGTCACGTCATTTATTTCATTACTGAAAAGGAATGAAGGATGAGGGGAATGGCATCGCCCTGTTCCCTTGACTGGTCTTGACGGTTGACATTTATTACCTTTAGTTAAACCCAAGTCAACATACCACCAAAAAATTTCTTTTTACCAAACGAAATCGTTTGACTTCTCCCACGATCTGTTGACAAAATAATACCTGAAATTTGAATTTATTATAAATCATGTGGTTGTGCATTTTTCATACATGATCCTAGGCAGGAATTACACGCATAAAATGATAATCTCTCCATTATGTAAAAGGCATTGGACATTTCGCATGGAATTGTGTATTAAAAAAGAGGCTGTTTTTGATTGCGCCCCATATTTAATTGAAATGCGTCTATCACTTTCTTACATAATGAAATCAGATAAAGCAGATTTGATGCGACCATGCCTTTGATGGTGAACCACGCACCACCGTTCTCGCGTTCTGGTTTTAAAGACTCTTAAAAGTTTTACAACTTGTTTCATGAAAACGGTGATGAAAAAATATTTGAACGTGTGCAACCTTAGTAACATTTAGTGCAAGTTTCCCATCAGGAAAATCATATAATATATATTTTTTTTTT